TCCAGACACTCCCTCCTGTATTGCCAAAGTCTTTCTTTAAGGATCTTCATGGAATTATTTCTAGATTCTTATGGAAAGGGAAAGTGCCGCGAGTCAAGTTAAGTGTGCTATTTATGCCATTCCGGAATGGTGGACTTAAGCTACCCAATTTTTATTTATAGTATATCAACAGGACAGAATATATAGACCTCATCTATCTATCTTTTACTTTTTTAATCAATATTTGTTTCATTTATTTTCATTTAGGCACTATGGGATGGAGATTTAGGGTTGTAGGGGTATGTCATCATAGGGTTATATGGGGAAGATCTGTTCAGGCTAATTTGTATTTTGTACTGTATATTTTATTGTAAAAACTTAATAAACAGTGTTAAACATTTTTTTTTATTACTATTACATAATAAAAAAATATTCCTTCAGGTTGGCTGGTTTCCAAAAAACAACTGTGAATGGAATATATTTGTAAGACATGAAATTTTACTGTACATATTTTTGTCATCTTTATTTTATTTTATTTTATTTTATATATATATATATTGTGTATGTGTGTGTGTATATACACATAATATTATTATTATTATTATTATTTTATACCCAGGTGCAATATTTGTATTATGAAGCCTGATATATTATTCAAGGATTCCAATTTGTAAATATGAAATGACCTCTGCTTCATTTGAACAAAACGGTCTATTGCAATCATTTTTCATGATGAGCCAGAATTTCACAATCATGACAGCCCTGTTAGTGATCATACACTTTAGCACAGCACTAACAAAGACCTGACCAGAGAAAGATTAATAGCATTCGTGGCTCCATGTGGAACTATCATCACCTAATATGCATTTAAACTACATCTAATCTCTGACTAACATTTCACTGTTAATTGAGATCCCGCATAAATAGGCTCTGTGTACAGAAAGCCATTTGAAATGACATTTTATAAACCACAAACTCTCACTGTCATAATTAGTCATAAGCTTTCGATAATTTCCAGAAGACTATGGAAAATAAAGGTCCCCTGCGTAGTGTGTAGTATATTATACTCTCCCCCATCTCTCTGTTTCTCAATCAGTGAGATTAGATGCACAGAATTATGTGTTTGTTTAAGAGAAAACTCTGTGACGGCTATTACAAAAATCAATTTTCATTTTTGCACTGTGGAAATCTCTAATATATGAATAAGACACACTAACAAATAAACACACACAACAGAAGCTGTATTTGAGTAGCAGGTGTAGCTCTGACCCTGTTCTTTTCATTTCTGCCTGAAGCTAAACCTCATTTAGTTATGTTCCTGTTTCTTAATTAAATTCCGAAGAGAGTTTGTGCGTGTTTGTGCCATCTGAGTTCACCCAAAATGTAAATTATGTCTTTTTACTCACTCTCATGTCGAGCTAAACCACATGTGACCATCTTCCATGTGATTCAGATGGAGACATTTTGAATAACTGGACTGGTCGCTCATTACCATACCATTACAGTGAATGGGGACTGAAGCTATCGAGTTTCAAAGCACTGTAGAAGTATGATAGTAGTAGTCCATACAACTTGTGTATTCCAAGTCTTCTGAAGCCATATGATAGCTTTGTGTATAATAGTAATCTTCCCCTCCTGTGAACTGTTGAGTCAGACTGTTTTTGTGAACTGGATCAACATTTAATTGAAAAGATGCTGATTGTTTTTCCAGGAGATTTAGGGCAGATGTCAAGATTTTAATTTCCTTTTGTTTTCCACGGAAGAAAGAACATTTTATGGGTTTGGAACACCTTGAGGGTGAGTACATGACAGACTTTTTTTTTCTTTTCTTTTTGAGAGAGAGAACGAATTCTTTAGCCAAACCATATTTTTAGTTAATTACAAATCATTGTTTAAGTACAGTATCTGTGACATTTTTACTTTTAAGCACTGAAAAAGTAAATTAATAAGTTTAATGTAATATCAATCCTTAAAAAAAATTAAATATGCTGGATGCATATTCAGTGTTTACAGGTTACAGAAGCTTTAAGTTCACAAACATTGTATGGTTGTTAATTTAGTACAATTTAAGTAGTTAATTGTTTTTAAAAAGCAACGCATTAAAAAAGGAATCAGCACAAAATGAATTTGATACATTTTTAATCGGTTAACAACTTAAAAAAAAATAAAAAATCAAGGTGGTGGATATGAACAGGTACAATTGGATTATACCTGTGAGTCATTATAACCTTTCCTAGATAAACAAAAATGTCACGGCTAGGGGATAATTATTCAGGTTGTTAATCTAAAGGACAGCTGTGAAAATGAAGTCTAAAGAGCATTTTAAATATGTCAGCGATAATGTTAGACAAATGCTTTAGGAAAAGGTTACAAAACAATGTCCAAATCTTTGGATGTCCCAGTGGTGTTGGTTCAATTATGAGGAAGTGGAAATTACCACAAACCCCTCAGATGCCATCTAGAAAAGATCATCCCTCAAAACTCTCTGCACAAACAAGCAGAGTTGTAAGAGAGGCTAGAGATAATTTTGAAAGAGTTACAGAGTTCAGCAGTTGAGATCAAAGTAAAAGATGGAATGAGCAGTCAAGCATTATCATAGCACCATATGGTAGGATGATGTAGCAAAAGAAACCACTTTGTCAGATGTAACTAGAATAAGATATTTTTAGCTAATGTTCCCAGTTTGCCCAATTCTGGCATTATTTACTCACCTTTGTGTGGTTCCTAACCTGTGACCATCTTTCTTCCATCGAACACAAAAAAATGGATAAAAAAAAAAATATTGAGGCTTTGAAAGAAGACTGGGTCTGTGAAGCTCCTGTCAAGAAGCACCATGAAAGTAGTCTATGCAGATGAGAAGATTTATGAGTTAATAACAATTTGGTGTAAACTGTAGTTTCTTATACAGTACAAAGCTATTGTATGCCTACAGAATGAATGAAAAACAAATGCTGAAAGACACAAGAGAACCTGTTTCTGAAACAAAAAAGAAACTAGTGCCAGATTTAAGAACATAAAGGTGAATGTCCTACAACATCAGTTTGTGAAAATAAGTTTGCGAACAGCATAAGTGTCATCCTATTACCTGAACAACCTGAAGAAAATCTGCCAGAATTCAATTAAAAGGCAAATTAACACCTGTATGTAGAGTGTGAAGCTCTAACATACACACCACAAAAAGTGTTTGTCTTTACAACAAAGGGTGGATCTACAAAATATTAAATTGAATACTTTAAATTGATGTTGTTATTGTTGTTCAGAATACTTCAGACATTCCACATTAAAATAATTTATAGTTTTAATGCATTGAAAGATGAGAAACAATGCATAATTTGTCCATTTAAAATGAATTAGTTGAGGGTCTAAATGCATTTGCAAGACTTTGTGTTTATGTGTTTGCTGGCTCATTGAATTTTGGGTTTTGGCTACAAAAATACGGAACTGGGATAGATTGATTTAACTCGTTTAAGATTAAAAGGCAATTTAATGTCTTGCGAAAATAGATAAGGCACCTAATGGTGTTCAGTCGGACGTTATTTATATTGTTTACCTTAGAGCTTTTCACTTATATTTCATTAAATGACTTGCATTCCACCCCCAAACAGTTTGAAAACACATTTAGTCAATGAAAACAACTTTGGTCCAAAAACAATATAACAAGTAAACCCAGGGCTCAACGCTAAGGATTTTTTCTACTGGCCCAGTCGGACCAATGCTTAAAATTTTTACTTGCTCTGGCAACATTTTCACTGGCCCTGCCACAAAAAAATAAAATAGTTGCAGTTATCACAGTTTTTGAACTATGTTATATTTTAATCTACTAAATAAGCTTATATGACACCAATTAAATTTTACAATTCTCGATTCCAGTTTCGATACCACAGCAAAAACTACTAGCTTAACATATATTAAGTTTAAACATTATTAAAGACAAGTGGACAGTCAGTAAATAAGAACAAATGAACAAATTACAAGCAATTACACAATTAAATATATAGAACAAAGATACAAATTAAACTGCTTTAGGTTTTTAGGTTTGTAGGTGTTCGGGTACAGAAACTGATTAATGTCTGTAGCCATTTGAAATTAGAGGCAATCACTGCATTTAGAACACAAATGCTACACACATGTAACGTGCAGTTTTTGATTCAAGTTAATTTGTATAATTGGAAAATCTGAAGAAAAAACAGAATGGTCTGATTTTAACTTTGTGAAATTATACAATATAAAACATATCTGGACGAAACAAAAACAGCAGACGGACTGAATGAGATGCAAATTCACTCTCTGACAGCAGGTGTCGCTTCTGGAACAGCAGCGATACAGCGTTTCCTTGGTTACCGCTGTAAACAAAGCAGCGCTGCACTTAGAAATACTACTTCAATATGCATTACAGATGCAAGATAAAAAGAAAGCGCCATGTAATCTTTTCTGAAGACATTCAGTTCCCCTCAGAGATACATTCATATAAACCTCCACCCCCAATTCAATAGGATTTTCTTCCAATATTGTGTGAATTTTGAACAGCGAGTTTGCTCTTCCTGCTACAGTATTTTCTCCTCTTTGCATCTGTCTTTAGCGTCTCTGGCCTCTGTTAACACCCGATTACAGACTTCGTAATATTTCCACACAAATGACATTTTGAAAAATGATTGCAATGCAGTTTGTGTGCAAGCAAAAAAAAAAATGGCTGGTCGACCGGTGCTTCTATCGATTAATACACAAAGAACAGTGCTTGAGTACTGAATGGAATTGTCTTTCGTGTCTTGCTTGAATGCTTTAAAATCACTTGAATTTGTTAATTAGCAAGGCTTAAAAACACATGCAGATGTTAAACTTTCGTAACGATGCAGCAGTTACCCGATTGGGCCAGTGACAAATCCGTCAACTGTCCCAAGCGTCTTTCACACTGGCCCCAGGCCATCGGGCAGTCCTTATTGTCGAGCCCTGAAACCTTAAAGCATCTTGTAACTCTGCTGATATTTAACTGTTTGGGGTTTTTGTGTCTGTGTGTGTTGCAGATATATGATGGGAGTCAATCTAGGGGGCAGAGATCATTCGTTCATGGACGATGGCTACCAAGTCAATCCCAAACTTGTTGTCATTGTTCTGAACACGCAGAGGGAATGGGAGAAGGTAAGAGCCTTTAATATTTATATCCCTCCCAAATCTTCATTTTCTTCTGTTAGCTTTGCCTGTAAGGGGATTCTGGAACCATAAGCAATCAATCAATATTCTGTTTACTAGCTCAAAGCCTTTTTGTGACTGTGACTGAAAATGCACTGGACTTTGCTATTAAAGAAAAATAACATTTCATTTGTACTTTCCATATCACAGCCTGGGGTTTTTTCATGCACATGACTTAAAATATTGTTTACTTAGTCATAAAGAGTGAAAATAGCCCTTATTAAGGCATTGGTTTCATAACTGATTTATTTTGAAATTACTTCTAGCTTTAAATTGGGGAAGACTGCACATGTGTCTCCATCCAATTTGATTGTGCTGGTTAATGCCCTTTTTCATCTCTCTCTCTCTATTTTGGCTATTAGCATAAATATTTTGCTTGTTTTTTGTACAGTAATCCATTCTCTGTCTTTGTGCCCTTTCTCTAATTAGCTTTACATGTTCTCCTATTCTATCTCGGTGCTTCACACACTCGTTTTCGTAATCGTTTGCTCACTCATGCATTCTTTTAATGAGTTGTTTTTTTTTCTTTGAGGTGTGTTGGATGCTGTGTGTTTTGACAGTGCCCTGCAGTGTGTGTGAAGACAGACACACTCATATTAAAACCCTGCAGTGATTGTGTGAAAAGTGTGACACTAATAATTTCTCACTGCAGCGGGGCTAGAACAGGGTGTGAGCCGATCGTGTAATCGGAGCATATAGACGAGCACATGCACTTGACGGAAACACATAACTATTGCATGAAGAATGCAGTGCACATACATGGGGTAAACTTGACACATTATGTCAATACATGGGTAGCTGACATGGCATATCAAGCAGCAACAAAGTAACAAACACACTTGAAATAATGCATAACTTGCACAAAGAATGCATGGGGTACATTTGACACGTTGTTACATGAGTTGACATGGCATTTCAAGCAGAAACAGCAGTATCTCACAGTCTGCCATGCTATCTCAAACTACTTTAAACAGCTTTTTTTCTTTTTTAATTAGTACACATGCAGTTTTAAGACACTGTCGTACTTCTAAAAATTATTTTTTACCACACAAGATTATTTAAAACTGTGATTTCATAACTGGTTTTGTATGAGGAGGACACCCGATATTATCTTGAATTTCAAGTTGCAACTAAAATTGGTTATTGTACAAAAGTAACAAAAATGTCCTGTAAATCCAACATTAACATTGATTAATATTAGCATGAACTGCACAGGCAAAACAATGTGCGAAATTATTAACATGACAGGCTCAATGGTAAAACAGAATTTTGCTAATGCATAAACAGCAGCACAAGTGTGATTTACCAGTCTAACACATGGAACAAATACTGGGTCAAATATAATATTAGTATTAGTCATATTACAAAGTGAACAGATGAATTTGCACCAAAATACCATAAAGTTTGATTGGACGGCCTTTAACATCAACAACAAAAGGTATGGGAGGTATTTTATCCTCTGTTTAAAAACTTGACAAGCATATTTATACTCCATTTATATATATATATATATATATATATATATATATATATATATGTGTGTG